TTAAGGTCCCTTCCAACCCAAACCAGTTGATTATTTTATGATTAAAAGTACATCCTATTCCCACACTGACCTGTTCATCCTCTGCCTCCAGCCCGTGGAGCTGTGACACCTGTGCTGGCCAAACCCAAAACCACTCTTGGATAAAATTTCTTTTTACCAGGAAGTTTTTTATGGTTATGACCAAATCCCTGTTCTCTGATGAACATATGAAGCACTTTTATTCTTTCAGTACAGAGTATGGTTTCTTCTCTTCCCAAGAGCCCTCTCTAGTTGTTCAGCATCCTAGAGGTGGGCACTGGCCCTGGGCAGAGGGTTCTCCAGGGGGGCAGAGGGTTCTCCGGGGGGGCAGAGGTACCTGTCCTGTCTTCTCCAGCTCCCTGCCTGGCTGTCACAGCTGGATGACATTAGCTCCTCTGGCCACAGCGGCACATTGGGAGTGGCTAATTGCTAATTACCCTCTCTGCTCCCAAGGCTTTTCAGCCTCCCTTCTTCCCAGGCTATTTCCCTATTTCATAAAAAAAAATATATTCATGATTTATGTTAATTTTTCCACTTGTAGAAATGACTTCAGAAGAGACAGAACAACAAAGAGGGCCCTGTTTCTGATAGACGTCTAGACTAGAGATTAAAGAACACGACTTTTAAATTCATTTATTGTAGTTTTCCGTGGGTAACCAGCACCCATTCCAGTCCCAGCGCCGTCACCCAGCGGGTGCTCGGGGGCAGCGGGCGCAGGGCCGGTTCTTCCCGGTTCTTCCCGGCAGGTGGTGCCGCCGAGCCGGCCCCGGGAATAAAGTCAAGAGAAGAAACGGGAGAAATGTGACCGAGATGGGGCAGTTGGCAGAGAGGGAGGGAGCGGGTAGGGAAGAGAGAACAAAGAACCCACGCTCCGGGAGGTGACTGTCCTCTTTGGACTGCGGGGAAAAATAAACTTACGGGGTTGCTGGAACAGGAGACGCCTTTGTCTGAAAGGGCTTGTAAAAAAAACCAGCACCAGCTCATCCCGCCGCTCCCCTCCCATGCTGAAGGGAAGGAGGGATCCTGGGAGCCGGAGCGGGGGAAGCGCAGCGCCTGCCCCAGTTCCCCCGAGCGCTCCGGGCTGGTGCCGGCTGTGGGCGCCCGCAACCGGGGCTGGGGGGGATCCAGGTGGCCCCTACCCTTGCTGCCCCGCACCCTCCGGGGATTACTGGGCGTTGTTTTGAGCCAACAGCAAAAACTAGCAAGATTACAAAGTGAAATTCCGGAGGAAATTTAAAGAGCATCCGGATCCGGAGAAAGAGAGAAAGAAAGAGGAAGGGAGAAATAAATCAAAACGTGGAGAGAATCTCGGGGAGCTGAAGAAAGGACGGGAGAGAAAGAAGCTTGCCCCGCACCCTCCGGGGATTACTGGGCGTTGTTTTGAGCCAACAGCAAAAACTAGCAAGATTACAAAGTGAAATTCCGGAGGAAATTTAAAGAGCATCCGGATCCGGAGAAAGAGAGAAAGAAAGAGGAAGGGAGAAATAAATCAAAACGTGGAGAGAATCTCGGGGAGCTGAAGAAAGGACGGGAGAGAAAGAAGCTGACACCCGGCAGAGATGGGGTGAGACCGGCAGTTTATTATTCTTGAATTGCTTTTATTATTCATGGCCGCGGAGCTATTTTGAAGGTAATAGCAAAAGAAATGAAGGTTTTAAATTGCATTTCTCTTCCACATTGCAAGCTTTAAAGTTTACACTTGCCTTTTATTTTATGGGTTAGAAAGTAGATAATTGTGAGTCTCTGCAACTTCTTTAAATAAACTCGTATGTAAGGGAAGCCTCTAGTGATCTATATGTTCTATGAAATCCAAACTGGGAGGCTGGGTGGGAGGACTGGAGCCGAGCTCCAGTGTCTTCACAAACTTTTCCAGAAGTTAGAAATGAGGGATTTTTGTTTGGCTGTTGTGACTTTGGCATTCAGTAAAATGGATCCTGTTTGCATTTCTAAATGGCTAAACAGCTGATTGAAAATCCCTGATGATTTAGTTTATGATCCCCCTCAGATTTTCTAAGAGTGAAATAATACAGCATGGACGTGGCAGTGGATTTTGGCATGGAAAGAGGAGCTTAGTCTGGTATTTAGTTTATGTCCTAGTTGTAAGTCTCAACCATGTAACTCTACGGACCTGACGTGTTGTGAGTTTCTTGTGCAATAGACTCTTTGTGGCTGTTTGAAATCAGGGTGGATCTGTAGGGAGCCTGTCTGATCAACTCCCTCTGAGCGTGTGGGTTTGACAACACAAGGGAAATAAATAACATTTCTTAGGGGCTTGTTTTCCTTTTGCTAATTGTCCTCTTGGACTACCTAGATAAACTGACTGAACAGTCAAACACGGATCCAAGAGGCAGAAAAAAGGTAGAGGTGAAGAATCAGAAGTGACAGCAGCGTGAATCTGGCATAGATCCTTTGAAGCTGGCAGAGTATGTGCTGATCCAGGTTAAATCAGAAAGTATCCCTATTTTTCTGTAACTTTTCCTGTGATCCACAGAGTTACTGGAAAACTTCTAGAACTGCCAGGAAGGGTTTAGCAAGCAGATAGCTTGAGACTAGAACTTTTATTAGAGTTAGTGGGTGAATCCTTCTGCAGGTGCACCCAGCAGTTATGTGACTTCTTTAGAGTGTCACGAGCTTCCATGGAAAATGCTGAGATAGTGGCACCATCTCAGCCTGTGTAAACCTCGCTGTCTAATTATAGTGATGTAGTTGCAAAAGTATTGTTAAGCCAGAGATGACATTTCTATTCAAAATTCCTGATTTCCATTTAACTCCTGAGATGAAAGTGTCTTTTTGCTTGTACGTTGACCACATGGGGATATTGAGTAGCTTTCAGCGACGTTTCGATTACTCTGGATACAAAAGAGATTAAAAGTACATCACCTCTTACATCATATTCTGGCAGTTGATTTTAGTTAACTTATTTTTAAAGGCAAGGATTCTGGTCTCATTCCTCCATATTAGATTTCTTTGTAACATCATGTTCTGGTTTTTCTGGATAAGTTCTCTGTGGACTCTTTTGTATCCTCTGTACTGTCCATATTAATGTGTTAGCACCTCTCTGGAGAGGACAGTTGTAAGTAACACTTGATTCTGAGTTTAGTTAGGTCCCAGCTGAGTCTTTGGTGGACACTTGGCTCACCTTTCTCTGACTCTCTGCTGACGGCATTGTCAAGTGTAAGATGCAATTTACCAGCTCTAATTTGAGCAGTGTAGAGTTTACCTGCTTGTCATATGTATCGAGCTGATGATTCACCTGCATTTATCTACACTGTCATCCCACTGACCTCTGCTAAACAGGCAACTTGAGATGGCCTTGTCAGAGGGGCTGCTGGTTGTTGGGCTTTTGGAGCTCTGACAAGGGCAGGTCTAAGTTTAGGTTGGATGTGAGGAAGAATTTCTTTGCTGAAAGGGTTCTGAGGCATTGGAAGGGGTTGCCCAGGGCAGTGGTGGAGTCCCCATCCCTGGAGGGATTGAAGAGTCGTGTAGACATAGTGCTGAGGGACAAGGGTTAGTCGGGGACTGGTCAGTGTTGGGTTCATGATTGGACTCGATGAGCTTAAAGGGCTTTTCCAATCGAGGCCATTCTGTGTTCTGTGAAAACAGCAAATCTTGGGGACTTGTAGTGAAGCTGAGCAGCCAGCTGTGCCTGGAAGTACGACGGCTCCTGTAGATTATAATGAAGCTGCAGAGGCAGAATGTGTTGCAGGCGTGGAGAATTTTGAAATGTGCATGTATCTTCACTTCTCTGGTTCTAATTATTGCTGGACATATTTTCTGGACTGGAATGCATAAAGAATTACTTCGCTGCAGTCTGGCTCTGCTGGGATTTTTTAACTTTAATTGCTGTACAGACTTCCAGCGACGGATCTGTGTGTCTCAAAAGAAAGAGCTGCTGAAGCTTAGTAGCAGAAGTAACAGTTGTCCCAGGAAGGTGAGTGCGCAGATTGTGTTGTAGACACCCAGTAAGTAGCATAGTGTTCAGCAGCCAAGATGCTCTGTAGATGGAGACTGGTTTCCAAAAGGAAAAAAACCCCTCTCTCTCAGCTGTGTTGTGTCTTTAAATGTCCTTGATCCCCTTTCTCTGTGCCTGACCTTGCGTGCTTGTCACTGTTCCCTACGCTGATCCAACAGGAGTATATTCAGCCAGGATTCCTTTGCTGCCCTTTATCTGCAGACAGGCCGTGTGGCAGCTGCTTTTCATTCCTGTGCTAAGCCCTGCTGGGTAATCTCTTGGGAGTTGGGGGAGGCAGAAGGGAACACAGCCCCTAGCCAGCTCCCATTGCTGGACCTGAACTATTCCACCTTCTCTTTGTGGCTGTGGGGTGGAAGTCTGGCCTCCTTCAATCCCATCTGGACACTAGCAGCATCTATGTATTTTCCCCAAGGTGACATTATGCAGTGCAGAATGAAAGGGAAGCTGCAGCTAAGAGGGCTTGAAAACCTGCCTGATGGTTGGAACAAAGGGCTGGGAATCCATTCTCCCAAACTTTGTTCCCAAAGCAGTTCTGTAGTTCGGTGTCTATCAGTCAGTGTCCTGGGGGCTCGTGCCCAAATCCTGGGTGGGTGATACCAAAGCACCGTTTCCAGTGCAGCAGTAGAGTCCGTAGGTTCTGGAGGGAGTTACACCCAGTCCTGGCTCAGAGGAGGGGTTAGACTTTGGGGAGAAATGTGAAGGAAAAGAGATGAGGTTTGACTCTCATTAACCCGCACTTCTTCCCCAAACAGCATTGACATACAGTCAGCAGCTATTCAGGCGCTGAGGGAAGATAAAAGGAAACAAAGACAGACAGCGGCGGAGGAGGAGGAGGTTGGTTCTCATGCCCTCTCTGTGTTCCAGTTCTGCCTTTTGAAATACTGGGCTCTGTCTGTCTGAAAAACATTTTTCCTCCCTCTCTGCCCTGGCCAAACCTCTCCCTGAAATTCTGCTGGACCATGCTGCTTTGTAGGGTTTCTTACAGCCCAGTGCTCTGGCTGGTGATCCAGCAGAAGGGAGAGCCCTGGCCCTGCCGCGGCCAGCACAGCCTCCCCGCTGACTCAGCGTGGCGCTGGGCTGAGCGCCAGAGCTCAGCCACGTATCTTTCATGCTCACACACTCACCCCTTTCTGCTCTGCATGAGCTGCCCTGTGAACACCCAGCCAGGAGATCAGACCTTGCACAGGGAAAGGACTTTTTGGGAAGATTGCAGGGAGAATTGGGAAATCCTTAACCTCCTGCTGCAGCTGGCATTGGGCCTTTTATCAGAAGACAACCTCATTTTTTGGGAAGCTTCCTCACTGTGGCTGCACATTGGGCACAGTGCAAAAATATGTTCCTGGGTCTCCTGCACTCTGGAGATATCCTGCTGCTGTCAG